TCATGGTAAATAATTTGAGTCGGGTTACGTGAAGAAGACGCGCACAGTAATAAATGCATTCTGAGCTGTCTTTTGACAGATAGGACTTAGTCCATGTCATCTCATCTCTCTCCAATTCCAATTCACTGTCCCCACTGTATCGTAGTAGTGTTCTCTCTCTCTCTCTCCTTTCTGTGTGAGACGACTCTACTCTCTGCTCTTTATTGTTCTCTTGAGCCACCCGTTTTGTCTCCATTTCCTCTCATCTCCCTCCGAGGGCGGGAGTACTAGAATTTTCCTTTTCATGGTAAATAATTTGAGTCGGGTTACGTGAAGAAGACGCGCACAGTAATAAATGCATTCTGAGCTGTCTTTTTGACAGATAGGACTTAGTCCATGTCATCTCATCTCTCTCCAATTCCAATTCACTGTCCCCACTGTATCGTAGTAGTGTTCTCTCTCTCTCTCTCTCTCTCTCTCTCTCCTTTCTGTGTGAGACGATGCTCTCTGCTCTTTATTGTTCTCTTGAGCCACCCATTTTGTCTCCATTTCCTCTCATCTCCTTCTCTGTCTCTCAACCCACCTCTCTCTCTCTCTCTCTCTCTCTCTCTCTCTCTCTCTGTAGCCATGAACAAAGAAAAGCTTGTGGTAGAAGTAGTGGCAGCCCACAACTTGATGCCCAAAGATGGCGAAGGTTCGTCTTCCCCATTTGTAGAAGTAGAGTTTGAGAACCAGAAACAGAGAACCCAAGTCAAATACAAAGATCTCAACCCAATCTGGAATCAAAAGCTCGTCTTCCATGTCACCAACATTGCAGACCTTCCTTACAGAACCATAGAACTCAATGTCTACAACGAGAAGAGGTCCAGCAACAGTCGAAATTTTCTGGGTAAAGTCAGAGTTTCAGGGTCGAGCATTGCTAGAGAAGGTGAAGAGATTGCTCAACTCTACACTCTCGACAAGCGAAGCCTTTTCTCTCATGTCCGTGGCGAGATTAGCTTCAAGCTCTATTTATCGACTCGAGAAGAAGTTAAAGACGTCATCAATGGTATGGTCTCTGGTTCTGGTTCTGGTTCGTCTTCTTCGAAGAAGAACAAGAAGTTGCAGCAACTAGCAGAGTCGACAATGGCGGTGAATCAACAAGAAGAAAACAAGAAAAACAACCAAAATCCGCAAAATCCCAAGCCTACTATGCCAAACCCAGGTGATATGAAGCCTGTTATCATCACCACCGCAAGCGGTGGTGGGTTTGGTGTAAACTCTACTGGGTCGAACGAGTTCTCGCTAAAAGAGACTAGTCCTCACCTCGGAAACAAAGATAAAACGAGCTCAACCTATGATCTGGTCGAGCAAATGCAGTATCTGTATGTTAGAGTCGTGAAGGCTCGAGAAATCGCTGTGTTTGGCGGCGGAGAAGTGGTGGCGGAAGTGAAACTCGGAAACTACAGAGGAATCACGAAAAGGGTTAGTTCAAACCATGCCGAATGGAACCAAGTTTTCGCATTTTCAAAAGATTGTTTGCAATCATCAACGGTGGAAATTTTTTTGAAAGAGAAAGATAAAGATGATTTCTTAGGCCGTGTTTGGTTCGATTTAAACGAAGTCCCCAAAAGGGTTCCTCCAGATAGTCAGTTAGCTCCTCAATGGTATCGAATGGAAGACAAAAAGGGCGAGAAATCGACAAAAACCGGCGAGTTAATGGCGGCCATTTGGTTCGGAACTCAGGCCGACGAATTCTTCGCCGAAGCGTGGCATTCGAAAGCCGCCAATGTGCATTTCGATGGTCTCAGTTCGATCAAATCAAAGGTTTATCTCTCTCCAAAGCTATGGTACTTAAGAGTCTCTGTAATTGAAGCTCAAGACATTGTTTTGGGAGAGAAAGGTTCTTCATTGATGAGATATCCAGAGCTTTCAGCAAAAGTCCAAGTCGGAAATCAAGTTTTGAGAACCAGAATCATATCTCCAACAACACCGAATAATCGAAGCTTCTCGAACCCATTTTGGAAGGAAGATTTGATGTTTGTTGTCGCAGAGCCATTTGAAGACTATCTATTGGTTTCGATTGAAGATCGAATTGCCCCGAATACGGACGAAGTTGTGGGGAGAGTTCTTCTCCCTGTGACTACGATCGAGCGGAGATTAGACGATAAACCGGTGAATTCGCGGTGGTTTAATCTCGACATTCATTCAAACAATTTGGGAGAGTCGAAACTGGCGGGGAGATTTGGTTCTCGGATTCATCTCAAAGCCTCGTTCGATGGTGGATACCATGTGCTTGATGAATCCACAATGTATAGCAGTGATTTGAGGCCTACTGCCAAGCAGCTTTGGAAGCCCCACATTGGTGTGCTTGAACTGGGGATTTTGGGGGCTACTAATTTGATGCCGATGAAGGTCAAGGAGGGCCGTGGCGGCTCCGTCGACGCCTATTGCGTGGCCAAGTATGGGCAGAAGTGGGTGAGAACTCGCACGGTGGTTGATAGTTTCGCGCCAAAATGGAACGAGCAGTACACGTGGGAAGTTTTTGACCCGTGTACGGTGATTACTGTTGGGGTGTTTGATAATTCTAGGGTCGATAAGAATACGAGCAATGCTGGTGCGCGTGACTTGCGCATCGGTAAAGTTCGAATTCGGTTATCAACCCTTGAATCGGATAGAGTGTATACGCACTCGTATCCTTTGATTATGTTGCACCCTTCCGGGGTGAAGAAAATGGGGGAGCTTCATTTGGCAGTCCGATTTTCGTGTACTAATATGGCTAATGTACTACATAGCTACACAATGCCATTGCTTCCAAAGATGCATTATGTGAATCCTTTGTCAGTTAACCAATTGGAAATTCTGAGGTACCAGGCTGTAAATGTAGTAGTGGCTCGGCTCAATAGAGCCGAGCCGCCTTTAGGGCGGGATGTGGTTGAGTATATGCTTGACCACGACTCCCACATGTGGAGCATGAGAAAGAGCAGGGCCAATTTTTTCCGACTAAATAATGCGGTTTCTGGTGTGATTTCTATAGTCCGATTCGTGGAGTCTATGCGGTGTTGGGATAGGCCGGTGTACTCGACTCTGTCGATGTTATCATTTGTCTTTCTTGTTTGGGCTCGGGAACTCATACTCCCTATTGTACTCGTTATCATGGCACTAGTGGGAATCTGGCGGTACCGTTCGCGGCCTCGCTACCCACCCCACATGGACACCAGGCTGTCTTGCGCGGAAGGTCGTGTGAGTGTGGATGAGTTGGATGAAGAGTTTGATTCGTTTCCAACGACTCGGAGTGCGGACATGGTTCGGATGAGGTATGATCGGTTGAGGAGCGTGGCAGGGCGGATTCAGACGGTGATCGGGGACATGGCAACACAAGGGGAGAGGTTTGAAGCGCTGCTGAGCTGGCGCGATCCGAGGGCGACGTTCTTGTTTGTGGTGTTTTGTTTGGTGGGTGCTTTTGGGTTCTACTTGGTACCGATTAGGTGGGTGGTGGCTGCTTGGGGGTTGTACTTTTTGAGGCCACCGAGGTTCAGAAGCAAGTTGCCTTCAAGAGCTGTGACCTTCTTCAAGAGACTGCCTGCTAAGGCAGATAGCATGTTGTAGATTTCAATTCTTCTAAGGTACAGAATCTTATCACAGAATTAAGTACAATGTTCTATGAATTAAGTACAATGTTCTAATGTGAGACGAGATTTATATATTGAGTAGCTCTCACTTCATATAAAAATGTTGTGTTAAATTCTGTGATCAAATTGTGTGTGATTAGATTGTTTGGTGGTGTATGTAATGTGGGTTGGTGGGGATTGCAGTATGAATAGTTGAAAATGTATTTTGGATTTTGGGTATTTTTGGATATTGCACTGTTTTAAATATGATTTTTTTTAGGACCTTGCTACCTCCTTAATTTTTGGCCCCCTAATCGAATGTAATGTGGGTTGGTGGGGATTGCAATATGAATAGTTGTATGTAATGTGGGTTGGTGGGGATTGCAATATGAATAGTTGGATTTTGGATTTTGGGTATTTTTGAATATTGCACTGTTTTAAATATGATTTTTTTAGGACCTTGCTACGTCCCTTAATTTTTGGCCCCCTAATCCCCCTAAATTTCAAGCCAAGGCAAAAAAAAAAAAAAAAAAAAAAAAAAAAATCCAAAACGACGTCTTTTTGGGAATTAAGAAGATGCTTTTTTAGGGGACAAATCATTTTTTTTTTTTATTGTCTTTGTGCTCCCATAATGCCAATGCCATGCCAGGGTATCTTTTTGATGTCTGTTCAATTTTGGCAAACAATGAATGCTTGTTATTTACCACCAAAAAATTCAAATAAAATTTTAAGAACTTTTCTGAAAAATTTATAAGCACTCTATGCCTCCGTGGGGGAAAGTGAGTTAGCTTTTTGATTTTTTAACTATTTTAGTTTGAGGTTAAAAAGTCTGATTTGGGAAGGATTTTTTAATTTTTTAATTTTTTTGACTCTTTTTGTGAAAGAGGAGTGTAATGATTATAGATTGGATTTGATGTTTTATTTTTTGTGACTAAAATAGTCTATTTTATTTTTTGTGACTATTTTAGTTCCTAACCCACCAAAATCAGTTTCCAAACTATGCCTATACAGGAATCAGTAAAAAAAAAAAACTGAATTTAATTTTTAAAGATAAGCTGTTTTATAATAACTCAACTCTAAAGAGATTAAAATAAATAAATTGAAGATTTTTTTTTAAAAAAAAAAAAAGGAGTAATGATATTCAATTAAAATTTTTATAGAAGAAATGAACATACAATGATGTGGTAAAATTATACACCTATCACTTCAAAATAAAATAAAAAATTCACTAATACATCATTTTCATATAGCATTTTTCTTTTTTAAAAACAGGATTTAACAAAAGGTGGGAGAATAAATTCAAAAGTGCTTTGAGTTAGGAAGTCTCTTCTGTAATTAAGAACAATTGAACCACCACATTTACAAGTAAAAAAACAGACAAAATGGTTTAAAGTTTGGTTTATATAACATTATTCTTATTTTATTACAAATATGACAATCAATTTCCACATCAACATTTATGCCACAAGAAATTAAATGACCACAAGACCCTTTTTTGAACCATTACATACATACAATATACAAGGAGGAAAAAATAATCATTTTGTCTAGTATTGAAACAAATGAAATATAAGTATATTATGTTTAGCTAAGAAAAGTAGTTAAGTAGTAGTAGCTGTAGAAGACATGTTTCTTTCTTGGTGGCTGCACCAACAATGTGGGGGTCGATCGTTGGGACATTGTATCACAAAAAAGGAGCCAAGCGTGGATCTGTGCGGCATGGAAGACCTGTTCGAGCTCCCAAATCTCTACAGCTTAGGGCTGCCTGCAAATCAATTTTGCACACTTACCAGTGGTTAGGGGATGCTGTCTCAAAAGGAAAAAAATTATTAAAAAAAAAAAAAAAAACTACTTTTTCTAAAATCTATACAAAAAACAAAAAATTCAAAAAATATGAAACAATGTCATTTTTGTTAATAAAACACATTTTAACAAATGTTTATACGAAATTTCCATTGGTATATCATTACTCATATTACAAATTTCATGTCTAACTTCATTTATAATCGCAGTTTTTTTTTTTGGGGATCAATAATTGTTGTTAATTATGTGAAAATATCGAAATAAGATAATCTCAAGACATAATTAAACGGCTATAAATGAATTAAAACAAAGGAATGGAGAAAGATTTTTAGGACAGACGATTTACTAGGTCATGAATAAGTTTTCATTGATTTTTTCATGTTCCTTGTCTCAGATAAATCCAAGATCCATAATCCAAATATAGAGCTAGATCCAATACTTAAAAATTGAATAAACAAGCTTACTAACCACTTGAGCAGCAAATGGCAACATTTTTTCTGGTGGCATGCTGGCACAAACAGCTGCAGATTAAATACAGGGGAAAAAAAAATTCTCAGTTCCATCACTGGCCCAGCTTCATATATGTAAAAAAGAAAAAAATAAAAATAAAAAGTAGCACCAATGTTTTGCAATGATTGATTAAATATTGGACAACAGGGTTGAAAGTTAAAACAAATCTAATTATCACGAGACACTGCACAAAAGACCAGACATACTACTGATGATGCAGTTTTATTTGCAATATGGTGCTGCAAATCATCTGGGATACCTCTGCAAGGGGGTTGATTAGGTGATTGCCTACGTAGTTTTTAAACAAAAGTAATAAAAAATGAATGTTTATTTCATTCATTTCACTTACCATAAAGAACTGCTCCAATAAAAGCATCTCCAGCACCTGTTGTGTCAACAAGTTCTGAGGGTGGTATCTTCTCAGCTGTTCCAACAAATAACCTCCCACTCACAGTCCCTATCCCATTAACTCTGAATTTTGTCACTGTCTGTGGGATTTAAGGAGAAATGAAATAAATAATCAAATCCAAACCAACTATAAACATCATTCCTTGCTTTAACATCATAATAAGACTTAGAAAATATGAGGAAGAAGAACTCCGAAAATATGAGGAAGAAGGAATATATTTCTGTTATATTCAAAACTTCTTAACTTACAAGACCAAATGACACTCCTTATATAGGAGATATTACAAACGTCATTATAACCCATTATATGTCACTTACATATTATATATTACCACTATCTACCACTATCATATTATAGTATCTGTAATTTAGTATTATATACATTAACACAAATTTCCAGCACTCCCCCTCAAGCTGGTTTGAAGATATCTTCCATAGCCAGCTTGCTAGTCAGCTTATCAAATTGCTTCTTGTGTAGTCCCTTCGTTAGCACATCAGCTAATTGTTCACCTGTTGGAAGGTAGGTCATACAGATTATGCCAAATAAGATTTGACTAGAAATACAGAGAGTTAATTGTAATAATTTCATATGCAAGGGTCAAAGTGAGATTTTATACAAAGTATAGGGTGCAAAGTGGTAATTTACCCTATTTTCAAGGGAGAAAAAAAAAAAACACTGTTCGGAAGTTGCAATCCGAAAATATATGTACTGTTCAGAAGTTGAAATTTGAAACAAAAAATTAATTTCGGAAGTTGATTGTTGTTTGAATTTAATGTATTCGGAAGTTGACTGCCGAAATAATCAAAAAGTTTCG